CGACGACGGCGCGAGGGGGCACCTTCTTCTTAACCCTTTAAGAACTAAAGGAAGTGTTTCCTAATATAAGGACAACAATTTCCTCTCTTCTACCAATATGGTAAAAATGACTATTCATTTGCACTTTTGCAATGACTTTTCATTTTCCCTCCAAAATTGGTTCCCCCATTTTCATTGGTTCTTCCACTTTCCATTTTCTCTTTTTATTTCTCATTCACACCTTGCTAAACCCAACAATATGTTTATCCAATAAATTACAGCAGTGTTCACTACGTATATGATATATTAAAAAGATAAAAAAAAATATAGATAGTTTGTATTTCGATGCTTACACTTGATTGCCAAGAAAATTTTATCCCAAACTTTTAAAAGTTTTACAGAACTCTTAAAGTGATATTGAATTTTATTTTGTCGTTCAAAGGATAAGAAAGTCATAAAGGAAACCTTAGGTATAAGAAAGAATAAGGAGATCTCCATGGACATAGTTGATGCCATAGAAGTAAAGCAATTATCTAACTTCGCAAAAATTAGAAAGAACATTTACACAAATAACAACATAGTGCATAACAATGAATTGATTTTTGTATCTTCAATAACGAATATTTTTCTTTGAGAATAAGAAATATGAATAATTCAATGGAGTGTTAAATTAGCATTAAACATCAGGTTTAAATCTCTGTGAAAGTACCCACCTCAACATAGTTTATATAAGGCCATAAATACACCGTTAATCTATATAGTATTACACAGACATTTCATTTTAAACTCTCCCTTCCATTTTTCGGCAATGAAGGGACCACTTTTCATAATTTTCGAATGATGCCATTGAAACTTTTAAAATACTGCAATCATTTAGATATTGTACATATTATTTTCCGTAAGAAAGTTCCATTGAGGTTGAGAGCTGCTTCCACAAAACAACAGCTTGAGCGTAGATGTTGAGCGAGAGTCCACATAGGCTCGTTTGAGAGGGATCAAGTAAAGAAAATAATGAGAAAATTAGAAATCGGTAAGAGGAAATCAATGTCAATTTTCACAACCCCAAAATAGTCATATCTGTACCACTTCACATTATAGTTAATTAAGCATGGTTCATGAGACAATCTCGGCTCAATAGGTTGATCTGCTTACCATTTCAATAGAGGAAATCTCAGGAAGGTTAAGTTATAAACATATAAATGATTTTTTATAGGTAAATCATTATCCAACATGAAATGGAATAGTTGAAGGCGGGGCAAAATCATGAATCTTAACTAATTTAGAACACAAAATATCCTAGAAGGGCATACATTATAAATGTGCAAACAGAACAACAATCAAGAATTGGGGGCATTTTGAGATTCAAACCCAAGGTATATAGTATCATCGTTTTAAGGATCAGAATGAAACTTGTCAAATGTTAAGGCATTTTTGTGATAATCAAATAAAAAAAACGAATCAAAATAAGCCTATTGTGAGTTTAATCTTATAACTACATTTCTTTATTACGCACAAATTCAAGGTTAGCAGATCATATGAATCATCCTTTTGCCCCATTTAAACACATTTAAGGAAAAATGCATAAGCTAATACATAATCCAACTGCACAAAGAGTCAAAAAGGAGTCCAGTTGTATATTGATGAACTACAAAGACAAAAGTTTATTGATCTTAAATTCACTAATCACAAGAAAATTAATGATTACTGATGAACAAAATTTGAACCTTAGGTTCAATACATTGAAAAGTGAAATTGGAACTATAAAGCAAAATATCATTACCAAACTGAGAAGCAGATCATTCTAAAGCTGATAAAACAGAGAAAGAGAATAAAAAAACATAAAAAGGAATGAAGATTACCTTTCTAGGAGAAGCGAGCTTGGGAGCAATGAATTGCTGAAGCTTTCCACCGACTCCAGCTTCAATTTCACTGGAAATGAAAACAAACCAAACAACAATTTAAACCACAGACTTCGACTCTCAAAATTTTCAGAGATCCAAAGAGCCTTTGGATTTTTTATTTCTTTTTTTACATGAAAAATTTTGTGAGTAAATCTTCGATGAACATTCGTACACAGGGCTTTATATTGGAGAGGAATTTTTGGAGAAATCCGCCCAAAATCAATTGGCATTCCTAAGATTTCCGAAAATCCATTTAAAGGATAAGAATGGAAAACTTACCAACATACGAAATCGTTCCAATTTCTGGAAGATTTGAACTAAAAGGAATTGAATTTGGAAGGGATATTACCGTTGGGGAACCTTTCTTGACTTTGCCTTTCCTCCGTACAATGTCTTGTGCAAGACATGTTGATTATGTGGGTATGCTGTTGTTGTATATTTGTACATAATTGAAGTAAAATTCTTGTGATGCAACCTAAAGTAATCTGAATCAATGGTCAAGCCACTTGTGCTGTAAACAAAGTTAGTCAACTTAGAAATCTCATAAAATAAGGAGAAAAGTGATCTGATAAAATATCACTCAGATCATAAGTGTAGGGTATGTTTGGTATGAAGGAAATTTTCCTAGAAAATGTTTTTCTGGAAAACAAGTTGATTTTTGACTTATTTTCTCATGTTTGGTTGGTGAGTAGAAAATATTTTCCGAAAAAGATTTTTAGTGTTTGATTTATGAATGAAAAAATATTTTTGAGAAATATCTTTTATTTTTACTAGAGTAGAAAATAATTTTTTAAATTGAAAATATTTTTTAAAAACAAACTTAAATTTTTTTTGGGGCG